ATAATTATTGGACGCCTAACTAAGACTCGTGAACTACAAACTCGAGAGAACCAAGCTGGCTTTAGACCTGGTCGTGGCTGCATCGACCACATATTCACCATTCGTCAGGTTCTAGAACACAGGCATACCTATCGGCGTCCGACGATAGTGGTATTTCTCGACTTAAAAGCAGCATTTGACTCGGTAGACCGTGAGACTCTGTGGCAGTATCTGTCATTGAAAGGCGTACCTCAGAAGTACATAAACCTTGTGAAGGCTCCTTACTCGAACACTACTAGTCGAGTCAGGGCTTATGGCGAACTGTCATCTACTTTTGCAACCTCAAGTGGTGTCCGTCAAGGCTGTCCACTTTCTCCATTTCTGTTTAACTTCATCATAGACCTATTGATGGAAATAACACTCTCGTCGACTGAATTCTCGGGTATTGATCTCCTTCCAGGAGGTCCACTTATCGACTTAGAATACGCAGATGACATAGTCCTGTTTGGTGAAGACGCTGACAAAATGCAGAGTCTTCTGGCAGCACTGAGCAACAATGCCAGAATGTTTGGGATGCGCTTCTCTCCCTCTAAATGCAAGTTGTTGCTTCAGGACTGGTCTGGGTCAACACCTGAATTAAGGATAGGGAGTGAAGTAGTTGAACGCGTTGACAACTTCACTTATCTTGGAAGTCTGATTAGCCCTAATGGGTTGGTGTCTGACGAAATCTCAGCACGGATTCGAAAAGCTCGTTTGGCTTTTGCCAACTTACGTCATCTTTGGCAAAGGCGAGATATCCGTCTATCAATAAAAGGGCGAGTATACTGCGCGGCAGTTCGTTCTGTTTTACTTTACGGCAGCGAAACATGGCCCTTAAGAGTAGAAGACACCCGTAAGTTACTAGTATTTGACCACAGATGCCTTAGAAATATTGCTGGCATCTGCTGGGATCACCGGGTAAGTAATAGTGAGGTTAGACGCAGGGTATTAGGGAATGATGGTAAATCTTCATCGACTGAGATGGTTGGGCCACGTATTACGTATGCCCGAACACCGATTACCACGACGTGCAATGCTAACCGGGGTAGGGGATGGTTGGAAGAAAGTTAGGGGCGGCCAAACCAAAACGTGGCATCAGTGCCTGAAGTCACTAACTTCTAGTCTGAGCCATGTTGGTAGATGCAGACTACTTGGTTGGGGTCCGCGTGACTTTCGTAACCAATGGTTGGAGACTCTTGGTGACATAGCTCAGAATCGATCACAATGGCGTCGGTGTATACACTCCCTGTCTTCCCTTAAACTAAGAGACTAAAATCACTTCATTCTTTCTGTCTACGAACTAATTCTTTCTTCCTATACTATATCCTTATTGCAACCTTTGACCTAACCACTCCTATGAATCCGCTGTTCATCTTGCTGTGCTAATGAGGTATGGCAACCTGGACCGATGCACATATGTGCCTGGTCCTACGTTGTAGCTAACTGACTGACTAGCAGATATCACTGCTGTTTCTACAGCTTTCGGATATCATTCCATGCCGCCTCAGGATGGGCATCACCTACATGGCTGCCTAACTGTTTTCCTAGTTGTTTCTGAAATATACTCTTAGCTTGACTATCATTAAACAGGACCCTAAGAGGTTTCCTTGCAGCGTCTTTCTTACATCCAGTAAGACGCAGGCAAATACGCTCTCGTACTAGAGCATGATCTGAATCTAAGCATGTGCTACAGAATGAGCGACAGTCTTCTATCGAGCCCCTCCATCGGTGGCTGATAGCGATGTGATCTATTCGGGTCCAACGTTGGGACGAATTAGGGGGTCGCCATGTTAAAAGATGTTTTTGCTTACGCTTAAAGTTAGTATTTGCAAGGAACAGGCGGTTATCTGAGCATAACTGCAACAGACGGTCGCCATTATCTGTTCTTTGAGCCACGATGCTATAAGATCCACCTAGGTGTCTTTCCCTATCGTTTAGTTTACCTACTTGAGCATTAAAGTCACTGGCCACTATTACTACATCCGAGAGCCTAGCTTTTCGGAGAAGGTCGGAGAGCTTTCTGTAAAACTCATCTTTTACTTCATTTGCGCTGCAGTCAGTGGGGACAGACGACGAAAAGGCAGCGACGAGTGTCCCTATCTTTCCGGATTCTTACTGTTCTGTTTAGCCGGACAGCGCACAAACGACTGTCTACTGGGATCCAGTCTAAGAGAGCTAGTTCTGCCCTAGGACTCAATGCTATACCTACGCCGGCGAGGCCACGGGAAGCAGAATCAGGGCTTCCAGATACACGAAGTGTGAATCGAGTCGGTTCTTTATTTTGGCATGGTGAGGTCAAGTGAATGACGCTACTCGGATCCTGAATGCGCGTTTTGGAGACGCAGCACACATCGATGGAGCGGGATTCTAAAGTCCTAGCTAAGGAAGCCTGGTGTCCTATTTGGCACAGTGTTCGTACATTAAAAGCTCCTACGTGTAGTTTAGAGCGTGGTTTCAGGAGACCAGGAATAGCGTTCCGCGTACTCGAATCGTTTGGCCTAGCGGTGCGAGATGATAAAGAGACGTGAGGAGGGTTAGTCATGGAGATAAGAGAGGTATTAGGAGGTGAAGGAAGGATTTGAATGTGACTAACTTGGTCTCGTGTGCTGTTACGGGTATGAGGGCTGATATCACTTCCCGGCTGCCCACACCGTGACCGCAGAGCCCAGCGGACAACTGCTTGAGGCCGGCCGCTCACGGCCTTTTCGTGGGAGGTTTTTAATGTGTTAGCTCCGTTCTTCAAAGGGCCTTACCGCCGGAGACGGAAATCCGTGAGGTAAGGTGAGATGTGACATTTTTAGGGTCGACCTTTTCTAACCCCACCCCTCCTTGTGGGAAGGCAGCATCGCTGTCATGCTGGTTGTCTGAAAGAAACACCTTACTGCTGTCACACCTCTGTACAGTCAGCAGTACGACTTCGCCTTCGGACTTTGGGTTTGTTGCTTTTAGTCTTACCGCTCTTCAACCGACCTGTCTGACATGATAGGACCTTGAGGAACGGTTGTTCCAGCCAGTATAGCTCGGTTGCTTCATCACGATAGGCAAGCCCGACCACCACGTCAAGGTAGCAACAACGGTCGGGCCTGCTTCTCGCGAGTCAGTCTTTTTCGGGTTTTGAACAACCTACGAAGTATGAAGGAAGCCAATAGTTTGTACGCAATCGGAAGTAGACTTATCCCCTGATAGTTGTTATAGGAACGACGTGAACCCTTTTTAAAGATAGGGACAACTATCGGCTCATTCCGTGACGTTGGTACACTCTCTAGTTCCCAGACCTTTGTAAACAACGTCGTCAGTTCCTTAGTCAGAAAACCACCACCATCTTTAAAAAGAACCGGAGGTAAGTCATCTGGGCCTGGTGATTTGTGACGCTTCAAGAGTTGGAGTTCCTTGCGGACTTCCGATTCATTCGGTGGATCAGTCGTCACCGGCGACAGATGGAGAGCGAATTCGTATTACTTCACCAGAGCCCTGAATACGGGTCTCGGATAGACAGCAAACATCGACATTAAGACTTTCTAAAGACAGCCAGCCCTATCTGTTGTCCAACCTGCATAAGTGTGCGAACGTTGAAGGCAGACAGTTTGAATGGTGCACGTGGTTTCAGAAAAACTGCTTCAGTACTCGTATTCGGTGGTAGCATACAATTTTCAATCAGGCAGTGACTCGAGAACGTTAGATAGAGCCGAATTCCCACCATAGGTGAGCTGCTGTATGAGTTGAAAAATAATGATACACAGAGTGGGGATAAAAGAGAGTGAATAAATGACGTAGTAAATAATAATAATGATAATAATAATAACGTGAATCATTTTGATTGTTAGTCGCAGCAAGAAGAGTATTTTCCATAAATATAGACAGTTCATCATAGTTGTGTGTGGACTGTGATACTGCCCGGGTGCCCAGACCAAAGCAGGTGGTTGTCTTAGAGGTCCACACCGCGAGCCTTAGACCTGAAGGTCTGACCTACAAAGCAGTGGAGCATCGTGAGGAGATGCAGTCCCTTGGTAGCCGGTGACCGAAAATTGGTTCATACGCCATTTGTTCCTACAGGATACTGGGGCCCATGTGCACCATTCGTTTGGAATCCGGTTAAAGCGCCGGACATTTGCTTTTCTTCCTCTCATTCTCGTAAACAACTCCCGCGCCACGAGAAGGCAGTGAGTAGGACTTCCCAGGCAGAGGCTGTATACGCGTGGCCGTGTGAGAGCATTTCGAGAGGGCGGGCGAGCTCACCCCACTCTCGACCATACCAGGGCATTTGGGGGCTATATAGTTCTCGGTAACGTTGGTTTCTAAGATCACATCCTGATACTACATGCGAACAGCGAGTGACATCTAAAAACTGTATCTTTGAATTAAATATGGATAGCTAACCAGAAAACACATTTAGAAGAGGGCAAGAACAAAGATTCTTGTAGAATAGCATGAACCCATTTAATTTCATTTGGTTGTCTTTAGCTGCTTACAACCTGTAATATTTAAAAACATAATTCCGAAATGAGTTTAAATTACTTACGTGAAAGTGTTTAGTTGGAAGTTGTTCTGAAGACACGTCAGTATGGTATAGTCAGGGTGTAAATAAATTCAATAGGCTGAATTTTGTAAATGTACATCTTGTGTAGAAAAACATTCTACAACATTGATTGTAACAAGAGTTCAATCGGCTAAAAACATACGATTACATAGTGAGTAAACTCTGATATGAATAAAACTCGACTGATAAGAATAAAAGGAGTAAAGCTCAGTTAGTAAAATAAGATTATTAAACTGGAAGATAGTCAGATTATCTGGCACTTTATCATAGTTTTCCTGCTCTACTTTTTTAACGTCAAAATAAAGCCTCAGTCTGGAGGACTTAGTAGTCGCTGACAACCAAGGTTAGAGACTAGTACATATGCCTTATGAATTTCGTGCTTATTTTTTTAAAAATATATCTTTTGAGAAAGTTTTGACCTGTTGATCTGTTAATCATTTGTTAGGTTATTATCCATGATATAATTCTGGACCGTATGTAACAAATGGAGTTTCATGCAGTGTTCATATGTGTATTAATCATAAATGCTGCTTCGGTAATCCATGTTGTTTGTTGAGCTAATTTCATTCTCACATTATAGGCAGCTTACGAAGATGCTCGGTGTAAATGTGTCTGTTTACTCCCAAGCTCCTATATGAATAATACTAAATCATCAAAGAAGATATATGTGAAAGCGATTCCTTCTGAGAAATGGTATACTACTTTAAATTGACATTTGTCTAATATTTTTCTTTAATGTAGTACCTGTGAATATATGTTACAAAACGATAAAGACCTTTGTCGTTATTGTGAATGCAAATTTCAGGTTAGAAATACTGCTACCATAAAAGTAGGTTTTATTATTCGTACTGAAATAAATAATTTCTTGACGTTTATAAGAATAGTTAAGTGTATCGTAAAATTTTATTTTAGTTCATTTCTTGTTCAGTACTATAACTTAGTGATAAGAAAATTTTAAAAATAATTCATGACTAATATTTCTTATCACAGTTATCGGAAAACGGAATGGATGTATCTGTCTTCATTACTGTCATTCTCACTATTAGTAGAAACTTTGTCTTGTATTCAGGTCACAGATGGTTGATTCAAATATGTAACTAATTGGATTTTGTAAATAATAACTTAGTACTCTGCTACTTGTTTTAGAAACTAGTAATTTACTTCTTAATTTCAAGTTTACTCCTTTGTACTACAATTTGACTTGAAAATAAGTTGTAAAGTTCCCGTATCTTTAAAAATACTGAACAAAGTAACAGTTTTCAAATCCAAGTAATCATGAATAGATTGCTATTTTTTCGTTTTGACCTGATAAATACATTAATAAGTATCTGCCTTTCCACTTGTATTATGTGTCGATGATGTATGATAATGTTACGTAGGTTAATAGGTTAACAAAAATAGGATACACAATAATGTGATAGCATTTTCAAAGTCCAACTTATACGATTTTTACTAGTGATTCTTTCTTAGTGGCGATGAGGCGTGCGTAATATATGCGTTTATATTCTTTATTTTTCATAATGGGAACGTATTTTACCATCAAAAGTCATCTAACGTTTGTTATAGCTGTTAAACCTAATAATATTTTATTGTAGTAACTAGCTCTTAATAATCATGAATATGCAAGTGGAGATATGTTGCAATCAAAGTGTGCTTGTTTACAACAAATAAATAAAATAATCCTAATCGTATACCTTTGTTCATCACCGTTTTATCTTTTGAATATATCCTGTACGATCTCAAGCCACTAAAATACAAATAAAAGTATTTCTTTTAATACTGTTGAATAGCTTAGCAACATTTGGTTTGAATAAACACGTGTTTAGCATCTGCTATGTCTGACGATATTATGAGATCACCTAAAAGTCGGCAAATGGAACGAAGGATCAGCGACACAACAACACGACAGCTAAACTATTCCAATGCGTCTCAGACCCGCTAACCAGAGGGAGAAGTCTAGGTTCAGATAAGAGAAAGTATATTCCACAAGCACAAACGACAACAAGCACGTAACTCAAGCGTATATATAATATAGAAATTTCCTTGGGAAACGTCACAAAATAGAATATTAAAAGAGGGGACGAATCAATGACATTTAAGGACCTGCTAAGTGGGAAATACAATATGAAGGTAAAAATGGGCGCTTTCAGCGTGAAAACAAGAAATTCAAGTTTCCAAAATAAAATTACAAAAATAAGACGTTTACCAAGTGATTTCTAGGGATCTAGTATACCAAACAGCGTCAAAGTGATTAGTTCAGCCTGCGCATGTCACGTTTTTTCTCTGCTTAAGTATCTTTGGTTTATGTTTTCCAATGACTAAATGGTTATATAATGTATCTTTCCATTTTATACGAGGTAGAAATGTCAGAAACAGCTTATTTAATCACATTATATTCATCGGTCAATAAGTCGTTTATATTACATTTGGTCTATCAACCATTATTTCTTTTCATATTATTTTAGGTTGTTGTTTGCCTTATTCTAACAGTCATTACAGCCTTGGTTTTATATATGCTATTTCTCTTACTACTTGAACCATTACTATCTACAAGGCATTTATCACATAAAACAATAATTGATATGGGAATATGTTCAGAACCACAACAGCCAAATAACTTTACTATTAATCAACACAATAATAATGACAAGATAAATGATGCAAGATCAACTAATTCATGGGTTAATATAAACATTCCCGTTAGTAGTAGTAGTCATGGCGATTCAGCTGTATATTCTAAAGCGATTGATAAAGCAGTTATTTGGGATAAAACTAAGTTGACTCCTAAACAGTTTATGGATTCCAATTTGAGAATAATCAGTAAGTTTTAAAGTTTTCAATTGTGAATTAGCCACTTACCGTATTCTGAATTCTGTTGTTTATAATTGCTTTGGGTTAATTATCATTACAAACTGACGTCAGTTGAAGAGTGAAGGGGATTAGTTTGTCCCACCATGCACATACATAACCACGTAAAAGCTAACTTGTAATCTAGTTTTGACTGGTTTTCAAGTTATACGAAAATCCAAAAACTACCTTATTAATCGCTAATAAAATTTGATCACATAAAATATAAAATCTCTTATGCTAAGCGGAATGGTAGAAATGTGGCGATCTCTAACCATAGGCTATGATCGTAAAAAACTTAACAATTTAATCGATATCCACCAATGTGAATTGTTAGAACATGCATATATATATATATATATATATATATATATATATATATATATATATATATATATATATATATATATTAGGGTAGTATGTTAAGCTTCCAACAAATGCATTAACCAGAAATAAGTCAATCAACAATGCTTTTAATTTCCGCTACTTCTTTTCAAATAACCAACTTATTATAAATTATCAAATAGATCATGATATGCCAACATGTTGCTTAATGTTATACGTTTTATTGCTTTATTGGCGGTTTTATTTCGTAATTTTGATAACTTTGTCGTTTTTCTATCCATTCAAACTTAATTTGCAATATACTTCACTCGAAATGTATAGTCACCTCCTTGCGTTCAAATAAAGATAACTGTTTCCCATCATGACCTTAGTACTATATCACAATTCCATTAACTATATGTGCAAAAAAATTGCCGTTCAGACAATTTATGCTTAGATTTTACTGATTTTGTTATGTTCACCTATTTACTATAAAAGTGAGGATTCGGTTTTACTTTCTTTAAAGCAGCTCCTTCAAATCGCTGGCGATTGCGTAATCGCTCTGGGCTAATTTCAAATGATCAAGTTGAAGATCCTAATGGATTAAATCTTACCACAATACCTTCTACATCTGTTGGAGTATCTAGTGTTGTAAATCGTGTTCGAGATCAACAACAGCGTTGGAAAGGAAATGTTGAAGCACAACGTACTCGCGTCTTCAGCGAACGTAGTTTACTAAATTAACATGTAGTATAACAATTTATTTAAATCTTTTTTCATCAGTGATTTCTTTCCTGACAATATAACATTAGTTAGGAGTCCTGGGTAACTGGTCTGAAACCTATGTGACTGTTGATTTTCTCCTATATTGTTCATTAAAAAATAAATAATGGACTAGCTTTAGAAAGCTAAAATATAATTTCTAAATCTCATTGGAATACTGAACTGTGTATATATACAATAATTTTTTGGTCAACGTTATTTATTTGCTTAATTGAAACTTTTTAATCTCATATACTTAACTATTTGTTGCATAATCAAACTAACAACTTTTGTTCATGATTCGTGGACTTGACTGTAATTCATTAATATTCATTATTCAGTTTTATCTTACTTTTTCATTCAATTGCAATCACAAGATGTAAAATGCAATTATTTGTCACGTTAAGATCTTGTATTTCACAATGCTTTGTAAATAAATCAAATGAATACATTCTATCTTAAGAAATATATAAATCTGTCTAGTGGTCATATTAATTCGTGATTACCGACTACCCTTAAGAACAATACTGGGGACAAAAGCATCGCAGAATGTGTCAAAATCATGTTAGATGATCTTTGTTTTGTCCGTAATCATTTTCTCTTACAGCCATCAAAAGTAGAGCATAGGAAAGTTTAGACAGTGTTGCTGAGACGACGAAAGTGTAAGATTGCTACAGTTGTCTCGCAGATATTTGCAGCTCAGGTGGATTTGATGGACACTTAAAATTCATATTTGGGAATTTAAAAACCCTGGCTTCGGACCAATGAGCATGAGGTCCAGGATGTTCAGAGATTAAGTAGCTTATTATGGGATTGTATCTTATATTATCTCGTGTACCAGACGTTTATTTGAAAAGTTCAGGGGTGATCCTCTATGGAAACCACCTGATTTGACTTGAGTGCCCTGACTTGACTCCAGCCTTCACATCATTATTGATGGTTGGTAATATATATAATGAACTAATTACCCAATACATTAAGCTTCACTAATCGTAACTTTTCGTAAGGAAATTTATTTTGTCTTTCAACAATTTGATTTATATATGGCTCGTAGATCATAAGTATAAATGGCTGATGATGTATCATACGTCTCCCGCCTAGAGGTTACGCTTACATGATTATAATGGGTGGATACTGCTTATGGATTTGGTAACTGAGCACTGAATGACTTTCAAGCCAAACAAAACTTGAAACCAAGGTGAGTATGACTCCTAAAATTGGTGTCCGTTTTTAGTGACGATAAATATTATCCACCAAATCGTTAATTTTATAATGTCAATATAATAAATCTAGTGTTGGAGGGAAAATGGCTGATGAATTGTTGAGACGTTATGATTTGCGACGTCCGATTTACCATTTTTTATCCAACGTGGGCGTAAGTGTATCTGTTTCCAATTATTATAAATTCCAACTCATTCCGTAGATCTTTTAGACCGACCTCAGTGTATAATTAGATTCACTTGGAGATGAGATGTAAAAGGGGTTTCGTACGAAATATTTTAGGAATGGTTATATCCCAGGTACTTGACCAGTAGACCAATAAGTTTAAAATATGTAGGAAGTGAGTGTTGAATTATGTACTGTATAGATTAATGTGTCAGTCAATTGTGAGGTGTGAATCGATATAAAAATTAATCATTGTGGTAGTTGTATTGTCAGTTTATGTGGTTTAAAAAAATGCTAATGAATGGTGGAGAAATAAACAAAATCAACACATGAAAATTGTACATAAGGAAAGACGTTATAAAACGTGAATAAGTACCAACTAATTAATAGAGTTGGAATGATACATTTTGTGGATATATGACTGTTCCGCCTTATCCCAGTTCATTTACAGGTTGTATTAAATCCTACCGAGGCATCCAACCACACGAATCACTTACGCGTGAAAATCAAATTCCAATATATATTTAGTGAATAGTTATATCATTACAAAATATATTTAGATTAGTGACAAACCTCAACTTGTGAGGTATTTATGGCAGTTAATGTGTCTGTGTATATCAGAGAGAAAAATGCTTCCTTCAGTAATTACCCAGAAATTATCTACAACATACAATGGTGTAAATAAAGTTGTCAGCTGACTAAGGTCATTAGTGACTTATAACAATCGAACAAACGACAAGTGCACAAAATATGGAAGCTGTTCTGCCGAAACAAAAAATAGAGTAAAGGTTACTTGCCTATGCAGGTACTTAGGAACAATTTATGATAAGAAATACACGTTCCACACCACATTCTCAAAGTTGATGCCCACAAATGCCCTGCTACGGCCGAGAGTGGGGAGAGTACGCTCTCCCTCTCGAAATGCTCTCACATAGCCACACGTATATAGCCTCTGCCAGGCAAGTCCTACTCACTGCCTTCTCGCGGCGTGGGTGTTGTTTACGAAATTGAGAGGACGAAAAGAGAATTCCGGCGCGTTAACCGGGTTGTCGGACACGGAGAGTCCACCTAGGGAAGTTGGAATACTCTGATTCCAAACCGATGGTGCCCATGGGCTCCAGTATCCTGACGCAACAAATGGCGTATGAACCAATTGTTGGTCACTGGCCACCATGGGGCGGGATCTCCTTACGATGCTCTTCTGCCTTGTGGATCAGAACTGTAAGTCGAAGTTTCCGGGTATGGCCTCCTAAGAAAACCGCCTGCTTCGGTTTGGCTACCCGGGCAGTATCACAGCCCTCACATATATATCTGGTTCCCCCTTGTATCAATATATGTATTCAAATAAATGAATCTCAAAGTTGATTAGGTATGAAACTTGTTACTGAATATCAGTAAGTAGTATAGAGCAACACAAAACAAGAGGTGAATAAGAAGATCAAGACAGAATTAGAACAAAGGTAACATCTTATACAAACTTTATACATAAATTTATCCCTGCAAAACTGAGAGCTCGTGTATGTATATACACTCTGTTTCAACTGAATTGTAATAAGGCTGATAAATCATTGCAAAGTGCAATGCCTACATTTTGATTTCGACACTACGCCAAACTGTGTACCAACGACCAAATATGGTTGCTCTAATGGTAAACAGAAACTTTTTTCGTATAGTTTATTTCACTCACTTATTCGTTATAACTATAGTCCATTCCATTTTCTCTATTGAAGAAATTCCCTTGTTTTCATTCGATGTCATGAATTATGTAATTAAGTAAATAAATAAAAACTGTTGATATATAATTTCTACATTACAAATTTAAAGTAAAGTATTTTCGAACGTTCAACATTTAGCATTTTAAGCACATTAAGAAACAATAGGCCTTATTTATATAAATCAGTCGAATTCATTATTTCCAACTAATTGTTTATTTCGTATAAATACCTCATACTAAAGTAAAACCATGTACCCTTGAAACAGATCCTATCTTCAAATAGAACATTCTACCATTTAGATATTAATATGATTATTAATGGAAATAAATATTCTCCTGCAACATTAATTGACAACTAAATTTTATTGCCAACTTAAATAAACTTTTTTAAAATTTGACTATCATTTTTTTCTGTTCAACAAACTGTGTGGATAATATACTTCTTGTGAAGTTTAAATAGGCGAGACTATAATTTATAGATGAACCAATCAGGTATAAGATAATAGGTTTCGAATTTTGGCGCAAAGTTTACTCATCCATTTGGCTAAATAACGTTTTGCTATTATAGTTGATATCAGTTCATGATGAAAATCCTAAATCTAATTCCTAACTTAAACCACTAACTATAAATCATAATACGAATTCCTCATACTAATTTATAGCCCTCATTTGGTCCTACTTATCAGGTAGACATTCTCAAGGTCAGTCTAGCATCGCTCAAAGGTCATTCATAAATGATATTCTCATCCTTAAATATCATGAGTTCAGTTGTAGAAAGAAAATGGCCGTCCAGTGCTTCCAGGTTTTCCATGGTGGTCTAGCTTCAATTGACTCATGATTTCAATCTGTGAAATTTCTAAAATCTCCACAAACCCCTTCTGATAATAATCATCTGCTCACTAGTGACTGACTTCAAGAGATACACCTGGAGTTCTAGTGAGAAGCTGTTACCAATGGAGTTCGACCAGGTCTGGTGTGAGATAGTAACTCACTGAAGACAATGGTGTACGGTGGCGCAACTCCGTGGATTGGTTGAAGTTAGACATTAACACCATTGGATGCCAGTTCAGTGGTCTAGTTAGTTAAGAGCTTGGCGCGAGACTGATTGGTCCCGGGTTCGGATCTCGCGGGGTGTTGGATCGTGAATGCGCACTCCTGAGAAGTCCCATACTAGGACGAAACGGCCGTTCAGTGCTTTCAAATTTTCCATGGTGGTCTAGCTTCAGTTGACTCATGATTTCAATCTGTGGAATATTGAATAAATTGATAAAATCACTTTACGAATTTTTAAAGTACATTTAGATGTTTTAGTAAAATTTCATATGAATGAACTGCTTTCCAATATTGATGCAAAAAAAAGAAAAAGAAATGCATGTTTACCTATCATCTTTGTTTATTCAAAACAATTACGTCTATTACACATTAACATTATTTATATGTAAAAGGATATGTTTATTTCCATTTGTATTTCACATTTGAAACTGGATATTTTATGATTATGTATGTTAACTAATAAATTAGTTTATTCATCAAATATTACTTTTAATTGCTAAGAGAAATTAACCTGTGTACCCGTGTATATATATATATATACATAGATATGTTGGAGAACACTGAAATTATTCCAAGTATTATAATTGTCTAACTGTTCAACTTACAATTCGTATTTAGAAATGAATTTCTTTACACTTTACATAACTTTAGTGTACACCATTCTCAGCGTGCATTCAAACATTGAACCACGTAAGTATTATTTTCTAATGAAGCTTTATTGTAACATATTAAAAGAAATATAACTATCGAAAAATCTAATAAAGATTCAAATACTGATAACCAATTATATTTCATAATGTACTTCTTCTAGACAATCAATATGAGAAATTGTATAGTTTTAAAGAATTAATAATGGATACATAGTCATATAATCAGATATTTACCGGCTTATAATTCTCGGTCACTTATTTTGTAAATATGCTCACATTATAGCAATTTATTTTAAAGAATTGATAATGTATTTATACGCTATTTATTCACACAAAGTTGAATAAATCAAAATACAAACAAAAATGAGCGTAACATTATAATTTAATAGTTGAATTTCATAAGTCAATTGAAGCTAGATCACCATGGAAAACTTGGAACTACTGGACGGTCATTTCATCCTAGTATGGGATTTCTCAACAGTGCGCATCCATGATGTTGCCTCACGAGATTCAAACCCCCAGAACCTATCAGTCTTACACGCGAACACTTAACCTTTAGACCACTGAGCCAGTAACCAACGGTGTTATCGTCTAACTTCAACTAATCCACCGTTTACCATAACATTATAAATTGTTGCAATATTCTCTAGTATAATAACCAATATTTATAGTTTATCTTTCCTAATAATAAGTTCATAATTTGAAAATGCTGTTTTATTTGCAGTTATAGAAAAAGTAAATTATTACAAGTAAGAATTATTAATGATAAACAAATTATAAACATTTAAAAAAAAACAAATTACATTTTATCATAATAAATGTAATTCAATATCTATCAATTATTATTCATTTAAATAAGGTTGTATTATGTAACACTTAAGGATGCTACAATGTGTAATCGTAATGATATCACGATTGCAATTTCACTTATTAATTCAAATTGATCGGGTTTTTTTTGTTATGTTATCAAGTTTCAATCTGTATTTGAATTATTATATACAGTAAGACTATTGTGCACATTAGGCAAATATCACTTTATGAAAGTCTAGAACCTGAAGTTTGTGCTGATAATGTCGTTCAGAAGAACTAGGAAAGCTCCACGACTGAACTATCCAGCTCAGAGAACAAAACTCTATCAAAAAGTTTAGAACATCATGTTATTATGTTTCTAACATCTATTTACCTTGAACTATAACAGCAAACAATAAGGGAATTTGATGAAACATGATTTTGTTTATAACATGTTTCATTATATTTTCAGATACGGAGAAATTTAATTTTACAAAATAAACTAGTATTGAAGGACTCAACGATGTTCAATAGAGATCAACAGCATTTTCTTTATATTTGATTCAATGAATTACAAATTTCTTGGACTTCGAACAGTAAATTTTCGTAATAGCTTATATCAAAAATGAATTCGACATAGATAACTGTTATTTGATAGTTACTGGGGTTTAGAATATTAAAAAAACACAAAGAGAAGTGTGAATACACTTTCGGTCAAATTGAGTCAATACAAATGATCATAATATCAATGATAAATCAGATATAATAAGTTCTAACCTATAATATAAGGTTAACTGTCATCATAGACTGGTATCAGCTGAAGATCTATAGGAAACCATGAAACACTAAACAGTAGATAAATGTCAAGCGAAGGAAAACACACACAATGACTTTAGTTAATGACTATAAATAGTTTTTCTTCTACAGTTAGTCATTAAAGCTAAATAATTTACCCATATTAAACATAAAGTGACAGGTATTATACTTCAAATGAATATTTCATCATCAAATGTGATTCATATTCTTAGTCAGGCATTAATCTAGCTTTTAAGTTTTTTAAAAAGCTGCTTCCAAGAAGGTTTTATTCATTCTTTACATTATTATTAATGTCAACTAATCGTACAATGATTCACCAATGTCTTTGTCCTGGGGAGCTCTACTTCAGTATGTATTTCATTAAAGTTTATTCCCGGAAACACGTCGAACAAATCATTGTATGAGTTTCAAGCTCATTTCAAGAGAATGATGAAGAAACTCAATTTTATTCACTCGTTTTATTCAGATTCTGAGCTCAAAATTACTAATAATTCGACGTTTTCAACGGCATCTTTCCAGTCTAGGTAAATATAATAATCAAGTCACACACGAGTAAGACTTAATGTATGAACCTTTATATATAGTCTTCTCTTCACATTATTTAACTCATTTTGAGAAAAGAAGCTAAACTTATCTGCTCAAATATTTCCACACCAGCATATCAGGTGTATTTTCGTTGTTTTGTCTCATTTTTGTCACCTTAATTGGAGATATGTAGAAAAATCATTAGCATATTCGAATCGTAGAGTGTCAGTCAATTATGATATAACGACATAAATTTTTTTCAGGTCTGAACTCACATGCAGTAATAACAATGATAATTCGACACAGCTTTAAAAAGTGACTCGGTTGAGTATTATGAATCAAGGTTTGAAGATTTGCAATTAAAGGGTGTTTCGGGTTCATGAAATCACTGAGTGGATTGTGTCAAGTGATAAATAATATGGAGTTATTAAGTAATGTCTGCTCTCGAAACTGGATCACCGACATAAGCGTCGAATGAGCTGATATCAGAAAACATGATATTTGTCCAGCATAATAGTTTCTTTTCAAACGAAATAACATGCTTATTTGAAAAGTATTAATTTGTAAACAAGCATGATTAAATATCACAAGAGACTGGAGGAAAGGTTACTTACTTTCCAGTGAATAAAAAACTTTCCTACGTTACCTTTGTGACGTGTGATAATTACTCCGAATCAGTAAATATTCCTTGATATGTTAGACACCGACTAAATTGTTATAAGAATAAGCTTCAGTGTTTTTTATCACAGTTCAATAAGAATAAGATTACTTTCTAACTACTTTTCAAATAATAGTAGAGATAATTAGAATTTTGTAAATTAGGGTAAAAAGGACACTCGATGGTATCACTAATCTTGTTCGTGTCCCTTTTAGATCTGTTAACAGAAACTCTGATAAGATGCCTGAATACGACGAGTAAGTTTTTGACCTTTGATTTTAGAAATCCATTTCACTTCATTGTTCGTCAAAAAGTTTCGCTTACATATCAAGTTGCATAATTCGATTTACATACTGTGACCAACTGTAAGAACTGAGATGTTAATGCGAGTATTACTATACATTTTGCCACATGAATTAAACATTTCCTAGCGTACTCCAAGGTGATTTTCCTTAGGAATTGACATCATTTATGTCAGGACCTGTTGGAATTTAATAAGTTAATGCCGTATTTGATATTGGATGAGTAAGTTCAAGGAATGTCATGGTTAGTTTCCTAACCGTAATTATTTCCCGAAAGCTTTAACTTGAAAAAAGACATACATTGTCGTATAGTGTGTGAAGAATAATTTTACCCGTAATCTCTAATGTTAAGATTGAAAGTCGCGAAGAATAATGATGAGCAGTTTCAAATTAGAGTTACATTAGTCTTTAGCTAGCTTGAAATAGAGAGGTTGCTGTTGCCTAATGAATTATTTCTTCCTATTCGACTTTGCCAAACTCTTAATTAAAAGCTGAAAAACTACTGATTTTAAGTTGTACTTACTTTGAAATTAGTTTAGTTTAGTCTATGTGATTTAGTTTGTAATTCATATAATCTGTTGTTTCTTCAGTACACATGTGATGCAAATGAAAACGTTAGTACTTGTTAACAGATTTAACCCTTTTATGAAGGATTACAAAAGTAACCCAAACAATGTTTCTCCATGGATTATCATAAACGATCATACCAACATTTTCCTTTACCACATGTCTTAGCCAACTTCCCGATTTTCCACAGTAAGATGAACATTTTTAATTATGTTATTCTTACTTCGATAGTTAGCATTTTTTTGGGATCAAACACGAAATGCCTAAATGGTTCTATATGGAAAACTAAACATCGTATTCATGAAATGCTATACAACAGTACAATCTTGTAGGTGATTGGACGTAATGATTTAATCGATGTATTATAGTTCCCACATTGATTGAAAAAAACTAAATTTTGCTCCGAAATAAATAACACTGCATCCTTTCTTTCTAATCTCCATCACACTCAAAATCTTCCTTTATGCATGAATAATACAGACACATTTTATTCAGTACTATTACAAACGTCACAAAATCATACAGTTACAATAAATGTGGCAATTTCATGAATAAATCTTCTAGAAAGACCTAAACGAAAGTAAAAACTGCTCTAACTTAAAGTGTCTTCATTAGTGGTGTTGATGTGATACCTCTGATAATATTCAGTGATTACACTATTTTCACACTCAAGAATACCTCATACCAGTATTATGATAGAACGGAATATGAAAGCTGACAGAAATAGGCTTTTGAGCTGTGATTTACACGAGATGAATAGCTCAACATAACTGAACATTTGATAGTTCTAAATCCATCTGTCTACTCTTCAGTATTTTACAATTCCATTAATTGTGTTTCATGTCTGAGAATTAAATCTCACTACTCTGTCCGTGTAAATTGCTCAGAGGTAATGTCCCAATCTATTTCAATATGGATCGTGTTTGTAAACAAACATGTTTTCCCATTTTATTAAATGGCAGTGGTAATGTTATTTTCAGCAGCGTTTATTGTATTACTCTAATGATATTATTTCTAAAATTATTGTAGAGTTCAAGCAAACTGCGATTTGTAGTTACTAAACTTTGTTCTTCATGCAAGCTACAGTGAAACGTCTGAACTATGTCTGACATACATATTATTTGGCAAACGATAGAATTAAGTTCAGTCGTTCTGTTTGTTGGGTTGTGAAATTCATCATCTGAATGTAGCCACGAGTGTAACTGTGATCGTTCGTCTTGATCTCTAAATCGATCACTTTATATAATAAAAAATTACTAGCTATAATACCTGGATCAAATTACCATTTTTCTGGCTTCAATAAAACCAATGTAACATTTACAGAAAGATGTTAAACCAGTTTGGTATTTAATATTCTGAAAGTTATCAGTTGAATATTAGATACCGTCCCAATTAGCTCTTAATTTAATTTCACATTTGGAATGGAAGTATATGCTTGCTATTATTCAAAGCGTATAACTTTCTGTTTATAACAAGAAATCTAGTGGTCACACACACACCATCTCTGATAATATATTTAATCCCATGCCATTTATTTACCCCTTAATCATTCTGTGAATTATAGTAAGCAATTAGAAGAAGAAGAGTAAGACTACTTATTTCACATCAGATTTTATAATATGCTTTTTCACTATCTAATCAAATTAAATCATATTTTTTCCTATTGTATATCTAAAAAAGTACGATATAATACAGTGTTATAGAAACTGAAGGATAAACCTGATTCTCCGAAGACTATTTATCTTCCATAAAGACGAAATACCTTCTTATTTTGATTCCATTACACAAATTTTCTACATCTTTCGTGTTTATCACTTATATTACTATAGAGATTACAGTTTGTTATTTATTTTCAGTATGAGGTTGTGGAGATCATTAAGTTATTGATTGAGATCTTGAACCAATTGATGTTAGACCACAATTGAGAACCTGGAAGCACTAGACGGCCGTTTCGTCCTATTATGGGACTCCTCAGCGGTGCGCATCCACGATCCCGCTCGCGGGATTCAAACCCAGCACCTTCAATTTCAGAAGATGTCCGCGAACTTTCGTGGATTGGTGGAGGTTAGATATTAACACCATAGGATGCCGTCTCAGTGGTCAAGTAGGTTGAGCGTCCATGCGCGAGACCGGAGGCTCTGGGTTCGAATCCCGCGAGAGGAAGTGTGGGTGTGCACTGTTGCTTAATCCACTGTGCATATATTCGATTTAATCTGACTAAACATTTAGATGGCTTCTTTTGTTTACATACACCACAACGAACAGTAGTCCATTGTCATGAACTTTTAAATAATTTTTCATCCCATAGATAATCGAATTACCTAGACCATTGTAATTCAAATGAGTGAATTAGATGTATTATCGTTATTGTTGAATGACATGACTTTGATTTATAATGAAGATAAAACAAATTAGCAAGTTTTCTGATGATAAATATTTGAATAGTTTTCCAGCAATCGAGAAAATACAAACTAATTATATTATTATTTAATTCAGAAGTTAATTCTATTGACATTGTTACTGACTGGAAAGATTCCGAAAAGAACTGTGTACAGATTGTAGATGATCTATAAAAAGTGATTTCAATTTAAGAACTATTAGAAGGGATTGAGTAACCTTTAACAGGGCACTTTATCTTATTTGCAATGTTATGCGCTTGTTTATGGTATATTGCTATGAACATGTTTTATTGGTTATTAGTTTTAAAAATCAACAGATTCACAGAATGAAAATTTTATCATTCCATTAATTAATATTTGACTGTTAAATTTCACTCACATAAAACCTCATTTAAGCCAGTATATTAATTATTCTTTGTTCACTATAGGAGCCCACTTCACAAACTTTCTGAAATGTAAGTTGCAGACTGACTTAGCTTTTTTTTATAGAACTAATTAGTGTACATTCAGCCATGCGTATATATATATATTGTATGATTAATTTTAGTTTAAGTGATGACATCATTTAAACCGAATTATAACGACTGACTTTGAAAACATTGACGGAATGAACATCGTAGTGCAAAACGTCTACTCAATAAACTAGTTTCTTCGTTAGTGAATAAATCATACATTCATACTGTAAATGTTAATCATGTGGAACATTATTTGATGATTATTTAAACACGAATGACTCTGAAAGACTTTGTAGATCACACAATGGACAATGAATTCAAGTTCTGACAATGAAGGCTTATATCTCTTTCTTGAATCTATTTTCATCGTAGGCTTAATTCTGGATCTGTGTAAGTTTTGATTGATGTTTACTGTTTTTTTTGAGATTGTAATTTCTTTTATCGATAAAATAAATCATTTAACAATAACAGGATACAGTATTAATGATAATGAATGTACCTCAGTAATCTGATTGTGTTTTATCACTAGTTACATACGTGATATTGTGAATGAGGAAACCTTACTTTTGTGGTATACTAAACAACAAAGTGTATCGTATTTGAGAAGGATGTTTATTCGCAAGCCAGATAAGAGAGACTGCGATATGCTTTCTACTCATTGAATTTATTTATAAGTCAGTATCTCCAGTCAATGTATAATTTGATTGGCATTTTGTAAACAGACAAGACAATGTGACAATTCGACATTCTTTTTTTTAATGATTGAGATTATGAGTCATTTGAAGCTAGATCACCATGGGAAACCCGGAAACACTGGACTGCCGTTTCGTCCTATTGTGGGGAGCCTCAGCAGTGCACATCCACAATCCAGACTCTCGAGATTCAAATCCAGGAGCGCGAGCGCTTAACTACTAAACCACTGAGCCAGTATCCAATGGTGTTAATGTCTAGCTTTGGCTAATCCATGAAATTGAGCGACACGCCAACACTTTGCCATCAGTGAGTTACTATCTCACAACAGACCCGGTTGAAATCAACTGGTCACTGCTTCTCACTAGAACTCCAGGATATACCTCTTGAAGTCAGACGACATTCATTTGAAAACTTTCACAGAGACTATAACTTCACTTATATTTATTGGATATCCTCATTTTATTTCATCATTACGGAAATTATTATTAGGAATGCATACTGTCGACCATTTCGAATTTGACCACAGTGATGAGGAATATTCATTCTAATTTTCAAAATATTTACACAACATAGCCTACCATTGTGGTTGGTGAAGTGAGTGAAATTTTTTCAACTGGTATTAAATTAGTTTAAAAGTTTTATGTTAATAATATTATTAACATCACGCACTGATCTTTATAATAGGGGGATTGAGTATCAGGAAGCATTGGCTACTTGTCTCGTCACAATTTGTGATCTCTAAACTGTACGCATTCACCACCGAAACTAGCACCTACGGTTTTAAAGTTCCATACTATGAAGAAACAGCTGTTCAGTGATTTATGGTTATTTTTAGTCACTTAAAAAGGATTAGTCACTGGTGTTAACTATAAGAAGTGGAAAATCTCCATTAAGCCTCCTATAGTAATTAAATGTCAGTTTGTGTATTAAATCACTTGCATTGTAAAATAGCATATGAGGAAAGTGTCAAAATCAAATTACATTGATAGATAATAGGAAGGTTCTATGGAATTCGTAAATGTTGAATTTATTTCAACAAGATAGCAGATTATATTTGCTCCCCTCTTATTTTTCTCTAAAATAAATTAATTCCTTATCTTTAGCCCAATGTACTATGTATTTGAGTAAGTTTTATTTCGAAACAACTTAAGTCAAAATATACAACAAGTTAACAAATTAGTTTCTAAATTATGTTTTATACTGATTGGTTATTTTTAGATTATTCCTTCTTAAATATTAACAGATTCGGCAAATCACTTCAGCCTTCATTATCGCTTCTGCCAGTGTTCAGTTATATATTATTTATAGATTCTTCCATTGAATGATTTTAATGAATGTATTAAAATTCATATTATTATTATTATATATTAGTCTATTTAAGGTTTTTCTAATCGAAACCAGTACACATATATTTTGTCTACAACATAAAAATATTCAGTAATATCATAAGGGTTTTATTGGAGATTGTAGTAATTTCAATAGTTGAGATCAAGAGTCAATTGAAGTTAGACCACCATGGAAAATCTGGAAGCACTGGACGGCCGTCTCATCCTATTGTGGGACTCTTCAGCAGTGCGCACCCACGATCTCCCATTACGGGGTTCGAACTCAGGACCTATCAGTCTCGCGTGTGAGCGCCTCACCACTAGACCACTGAATCGGCATCCAACGATGTTAATTTTTAGCTTCAACTAATCCACGGCCGTCCAGTGCTTCCAGGTTTTCCATTGTGGTCTAGCTTCAATTGACTCATATTCTCAAATATTCAGTAATATTTACAGTTTAGTATTTGCATTTAAATTATTAACGTCACCATTAAAATATTTGATTTACAATAATGAAATAATGCTCATTAAGTGCATGCGCTACGTTATGTAAAAATCAAGAGACGAATGTTGAGAATAAGCAAAATACGAAAAATGGAAGAAATACGAAAACAGTTTATCAAAGGTTCTGCTACAAACTCCCGTATACCAATGGCCAAGATAGCGAGAGTGATTGCACAGACTTCTTTTGAATGTAACGTTTATATTTGTGAACATGGATTGTAATGGCTTCAACAATGTGCAAAAGACGCACTTGTAAATCATGTGATAAATTTGATGGAATAACCTTAAAGGCTTTGTTCAGTTCAACTTGATGACCTGTGTCCACCAAGTAAGCGAGAATAGAACTCGTAGTCACTGTTATCTGTCCTTTGCTCAACCATGCAGGATGGTGTTCTGTTATACAACGACGAATTTGCCGAATTGTACGTCCTATATAATTGGCTCTACAGGAGCATTTGAATCAATAAATACACATAGATGTGGCGAATCCAGGTAATCTGTCATTATTAGTCGTTCTTATTGTGAGGCGGTTGTAAAAGATGGCAGACAGTTTGGCTGCATTAAATGTTTTTTGTACCGCCTTTCATCAAAATATTTTGTTAGTTCCTTCGCTTTTTTTTCATATATTATGCAACGTAGCAACTGCTTAATTTTCGAATAATTACTTCGATTATTATTAATCCTCTTTCTTCCAATTATTCAATGTTAATTTATAATCGATATGTCACTATATAAAATACATATATCTATTCTATTAAGTCTGTTTTTAGATTTCTCATCTCATGAGATGGCTAGTGTTATTTTCATTACTGAGTATAACAAGCAGTATAAGGATTCTATATAGAAAATAATAAACAAAATAGTAAATCAGAGGAATAAACTCCTTATCATAATTTCTCTGAACAATCATTGCATTAATGACAAACTATCTGTTTATATTAATTTCTAAGAGTGTTCGCAAGGACTGTATCATGTAAGTTGAAAGATAATAATTTGTTTTAGTGAATACTCTAAACTGATTAGACTGATTGATTTCATTGTATAGGAGTTATATGGATGGTTGTAATAAAATTAGTAACTGGATAAAACCAATGATTGATCCATAAATTAAACTTTCTTTCAAGTGTCTACTATGAATAATTCTGAAGTTCAGATCTAGTCACTTCATAACATGTTTTACAGTCTTATAACATTTATTGACTGAATCATTTCTTATAATACAAAAATAATACCATGTACAATAGCATGATATAAAATGTCTTCAATATAAGCAACATGACTTATAGTATTATGTAGCAGATAACTAATCCTTATTAGACACCAAAGTCTACATCATATAATAATTGAAAAAAGGATTTACTCAAAGATGAATAATTAAATTTCTCAGATTGAAATCATGAGTCATTTGAAGATAGACCACAATGGAAAACCTGGAAGCACTGGACGGCCGTGGATTAGTTGAAGCTAAAAATTAACATCGTTGGATGCCGACTCAGTGGTCTAGTGGTGAGGCGCTCACACGCGAGACTGATAGGTCCTGAGTTCGAACCCCGTAATGGGAGATCGTGGGTGCGCACTGCTGAAGAGTCCCACAATAGGATGAGACGGCCGTCCAATACTTCCAGATTTTCGATGGTAGTCTAGGTTCAATTGACTCATGATTTCAATCTCCACAAACCCCTTCTGATAATTAAATTTCTCCTATGGATTTATTGTTTTTCATCGATTACATTATATCTTTATGTTCAATTCTTTAGATTACGTAAACTAAATTCGAACGGATGAAAATATGTTGAATGATATCAATATGATACACGTTGACCAATTCAAATAAAATATCATTTTTGAATTTATCATCATCATAGTTATTTTTTTCTCCCAAAGTAATACATCTTGTATTGAATTAGTTGAGAGGTATAATGTTAAAACAGTTCAGTAACTAGAAATAAGGTAGAAAATAATGAAAATGTTTTATGGCTTATCATATAAATGTATTTCGATGTAAAGGCTTGTAACTTGTCATGCATTTTTTGTTTATTATACATGAGCAAACTTTGCATTATATATAAATATAAAGGTTTCGAATCACATATAAATATAGATGTTGTTAGTAGTATAAGTCCTTTCCATCATATATTCCATTTCATACACATAAATCCCTTTATCATTTTGAAAAGAGTAAGAATATAGATTCTAGCAGAATAGCATGAATTTCTTTTATTTTATAGGTTCTCGTCAGTTGCTTACAATATGAGAGGTTTGGTTGGAAGTTTTACTGAAGACATATTCGTATAGTATAACGATGGTGTACGAATATGTCTTCAGTATAACTTCCAACCAAACCTTTCATGTTGTAAGCAACTTATGAGAACCTACAAAATAAAATGAATTCATGATATATCCAATTTGTCAACTCAAAAGAAATATAACCTACTAAACAAATATTCAATGAAATGTCATCAGTTTATGGAAACGTGTATTTTTCATATGTTTTCTAAATAATCATTAAATTATCAAATTACCATTTGATTCAACATGGTAGACTTAAATAAAATCATTACAATCAAACATTTGATATTCTTCTACTATTGTCGATTATGATTAAAAAACAAAACAAAACATCCTACAATAGTTTATATGTAATTTGTAAAAGCTACAACTAAATACATTGACTAACTATCATTGTATATTATTTGATATTTTATACAATAATTTGAAAAATAAATGATGGATTACAAAGGCGAAAAGATAATGTACTTCCAATGTGTATTTGTGTATTATTCACTCGTAAAAAACTTTATCCTATGAAGCATTCTCTTAGAAAATAAACACAGAAATAATATGAAGAATAAAAATAAGTATTGTTTTCCAATATTTAATGAACAGTATAGGGGTTGTGGAGATTATAAGGTTTTTGATTAAGATCATGAACCGATTGATGTTAAACCACCGTTGGAAACCTGGAAGTACTAGACGGCCATTTCGTCCTATCGTGGGACTTCTCAGCAGTTCGAATCTCGCGGGGCGCAGGATCGTGGATGCTCACAAATGTCAATAGTGTTCTTCTGTATGAGGCGAAAACCTGAAGAACTACGAAATCTATCATCCAGAAGATAAAAGTGTTTATTAACAGTTGTCTTCGCAAAATTCTTCGGATCCGTTGACCAGACACTATCAGCAACAACCTGCTGTGGGGGGAGAACAAACCAGATCCTAGCGGAGGGAGAAATCAGGAAGAGGTGCTGGAAGTGGATAGGACACAGATTGAGGAAAGCACACAACTGCATCACAAGGCAAGCCCTGACTTGGAATCCTCAAGGTCAAAAGAAAAGAGGAATACCAAAGAACACATTATGCCAAGAAATGGAGACAGAGATGAGAAAAATGAGCAAAAATTAGACAGAACTGGAGAGGAAGACCCAGGACAGAGTGGGTTAGAGAAAACTGGTCGGCGACCTATGCTCCATCGGGAGTAATAGGCGTGTGTAAGTAAGTAAGCTGTCCACTACATAGGGGGGGGCACATTTTAGAGGTTGTACGTATGTCTAACCACAAGCCTGCCAAGACCGATGTTAGTAGCAGATTTCCTAAAAGAAGTAATAGCGACGATTGACTTAACAAGCAACAAGATGGTCACGAAGTACGGCTCATTCTCAGTGAATAAAAGTAGCGAAGTGGCCAAAATGAAAGTAGCAACAGACATTCCTACGAAGGAACTAAATAATAACGAATTGTTCATAAGGTGTACAAAACTGTACACGGGAGATGAAGAGCCATACGGATTTTGTGACAAAGTAAAGCATGAAATTCAGGTAAAGAACGATCGAGTAACTATATCTGTGTCTAGAGGCTGAGGTTAGTCGACAAGTCCAGATGTTGAAGTAAAGTGTAATTGAAGAGGAGGACGGCCCATTTAGCTTTCCAGTACTATTTATAAAGAAACCGAATGTAAAGTACGGGTTCTGTGTCGATTTTTAAGAACCGAATAACATAACAGAGCTGAAACCATGTGCAATGCCAACAGTATCAGAATGCCACAGTGTTTACAGTATTGGATTTACGGTCAGTTTATTGGCAGCTGCCGATAGTAGAGAGCGATCAAAACAAGACAGAACTTACCGTGCGTGATAAGCGGTATCAATTTATACGAACGCGGTTTGGACTGGCAAGTGCACCGTCAACGTTCAGAAGATTGGCGACGCTGCTGCTTGAAGAGATAGAGAATGTCAGGGTGTATGACGATGACTTAGCTGTGTACAGCCATACAGACTAAGATCACGTAAAGCATGTGGAAGTGACTCTAAGGAGAATTGAAGAACTTAGATTACGAACTAATAAGGATAAGTCGAAGATGGCGAAGAGTATCATCGTGTTATTGGGGTATAAATTGAGAAATGGAAAAAATGAAACGGCTGCCGGAGTAAATTTTAACCATAAAGAACATTGCAGTACCTGATTGGAGAAGGAAATTGAGGCAATTTTTGAGAAGAGTGACGTTCTACAGTCGGCTCGTCAAGAACTTCAACGATATAACAGCACTCCCATTGAAGTTGTTAAACAAAACTAAGTTTTCGTGAACAGAGACCACTGAAGAAAACTTTCGACCAAATCAAAAATCTGTTAGACGACCGCTAGATGACGCTCAGATTGACTGACCTCAAGAAACCGTTTACAGTGGCCACATATGCAAGTGATCATACTATGGGTGCCGTCTAAATCAGTCGGACAGTGTGGTGGAACACGCGAGTCACGTCCTCACATCCACTGGACAGGAGTATTCAACGGTAGAATAAGAGTGTCTGGTGATTGTATGGGCAGCAAATAAATGGAGACTGTACCTGCTAGTCAGGCGACTGATCAAAGACCCCTACAGTGGTTGAAAACAGTTGGAGATCACTTGGGAAGTTGGCGCGATGGAATGATACGTCTGCAGAAGCACGACTTTAGTATCAGGTGTGTTTCAAGGAATTAGAATGTAATGGCGGAGTAATTATCGGGGGCGGAAATTAAAGCTTAACGTCTACTGACAGCATACTCAGTGAATAGTCTAGAGGAAGACCCACTATAACTTGTCCGGCAACAGAAGGCTGACTCTAACCTTCAAAAGGTAATCAAAGGAATAAAAGAGGGTGCAGACGTCGACAAACGAGCAGTGGACAGTGTAATGGTGTTGCTCCGGCAGAAGGAAAGACTGGTGGCTAACGCAACAAGGCAACAAGGAACGTGAAAATAAAACAAGTATCAGACAAGAAGAATGCGGAGCATCAGAGAAAGAAATGGAAACTCTTCGCAGTCGGGTGCTTGGTAAAGTGTGGAGAACAGAAAACACTTTAACAGAATGATTGTGATCAGTGAAGTTGATTCAGAAGTTGGAAGGGACGTACAAGTGGTTGCTTAACAAAATTGTTTTCTTCTGCCATTAATGGGTAACCATAATATTATATCCGGACGAAGAATAAGTGAATGTTAACTGCTAGGATCTATTTATGAACTGTTATTACGTATATTCTTATTGTTTAACTAGAAGTTAACTATATTATGTGTATGTTCATATTTCTTTTACTACAAGCTTTCATTTGACCTATTGACTACTATTATACGATATGCTATTCTTAAGTTATTCCCAATTTATTAGTTAGAGTCTTTCACAATCACAGCCACTTTTGGCTTGATCTTGTATAATCGTCAATTTCTGTTTTATGGTATAATGTGGTCTTGTTTGTTTGTATATAAACCAAGTATGTCTGAAATACATGATTCATATAACGGAGGCTGATATTGGCCTTCTGGACTGAACCGGCTGGGTTAGATGAGAAGCTACTATCTTGTAGGACCAATCAGAATCTCAGAGTTGACTCTAGGATGCTCGTACCAGCTTTGGTGCAATCATCTCAGCAATTAAACAATCACCAAGTTAAATATGAAGTTGACTTCCAAAGTTATGTTTCGAGGTATGTCTAGGGAGTTCATGTATGAAATCTATGATTCTCTGATCATTTCAACTAATCATTTTTTGAAACTTTGCTTCACGTCTACAAAAAAAGCTACTATTTCTTTATCTGACCGATCAGCTGTTGTTGTAGAATTTCATTTGGAAACGAAATAACTTTTTATGGGGTTTGTCTATTAGATTTGTGTATAGACCGTAAGTATCTTTTCCGAAGAGTGTAAGGGATTGAGAAACACAATCATCATTTTTGATATGATTACTAGTTATGTAATAAATTTCATATGTTAGAAAATAGATATATTAATGAATAATACTCTTGCAAATAAAATCCAATCAGGTTCTACAGTTATACATCATGGAGAATTAACCAAAATAACTTCAGTAGAGTGTTGAGAAAAACACTACTGGTTCGCATAAATTTTTTTCGTTGAAGTATCTATGTATATTCGCGAGATTTTATACTATGGCGGTTTATTACAGCAGTGTAGAAGTGCTTTTACGACAGTTTACTTCGTATTGATCAGTTGTAATTCACAAAAATTTATACAATGAGAAGTATTCGTAAAGGATTTGTTACAGAACTCATTAGAGAACCCCACAAACATATTATGTAGTTGAAGAAATGACAATATTTTACTTTGGAACTGATGAGGATGCACTAGAAGGCAGAATTTCTCATGTCTTTAATGTAAGTTCTAATAGAATGGGGATTTCGTTGTAAAAAGTGATTAGGATTTTATTTAAACAATTCTGACGTATCGAAGACTTAACATGTAAGTAAGGTAAGATTTATGGAGCGTCTGTGGTCGACATAATGACGCACTAAAATACGTTACTGATAAAAACACAGTGTAAGTGTGTGTATATTGATGAGTACAGTCGATTAAGGTAGGCTTAGTTGGACTGAATAAACTTCATAGACTTCTTGCTTTTTCCAAGGTGGAAATCAAGGGATTAATAACTAACCGAACGTACAAGCATCTGTAGGTGACTTATATTTTGTCCACGTGGCTTCACTGGTGGGTGTCAACTTCACCACAATCCCATAATGACAGGCAACAGCAGACATGAACTACTTATAAGTAGTTTGTTTTCATACTTCAGAAATCTGGGGACATTCAAGCTATTTCTAGCGAGGA